ACTGTAATATGTCATGCAGAAGATCAATTCATGTTACATCTGAGGGGAGTTCTCTGTGCCTCTTGGAAGGCAGAAACAGAACCTGTTTTCTTTCCCAGGTTGGTGAAATTCTCAGCTATGATTTGTTCAAGTACCCCTTCAGCCCCTTTCTCTCTCTTCTTCTTCTTATGTAATTCCTATGATACAGATATTGTTCCATTTAATTGCATCATTTAGTTCTCTAATTCTCCTTTCATAATCCTGGGTCATTTTATCTTTTTCCCTGCTTCCTCTTTTTCCATAATTTTATCTTCTAATTTACCTATTCTCCCCTCTGTCTCTTCAGTCTGTGCTGTGGCCACCTCCATTTTATTTTGCAACTCATTTATATCATTTTTTAATTCATCATGACTAGTTTTAGCATCCTTGATCTCTATAGCAATGGAATCTCTGCTGTCTTCTATGCTTTTTTCAAGCCCAGTGATTAATTTTATGGCTATTATTCTAAATTCTTGTTCAGTTATGTTGCTTTTATCTGTTTTGATCAATTCTTTAGCTGTCACTTCTTCTTGGAATTTCTTTTGAGGAGAATTGTTCTGTTTCATCATTTTGGCTAGTTTTCTGTCCCTTGTGAGTTAAAAATTTTTTTTAATGTTTTATTTATTTTTGAGAGAGAGATAGAGACAGCATGAGCAGGGGAGGGTCAGAGAGAGAGAGAGAGAGGGAGACACAGAAGCCCAAGACAGGCTCCAGACTGAGCTAGCTGTCAGCACAGAGCCTGACATGGGGCTTGAACCCACGAACCATGAGATCCACAAACCAGGAGATGATGACCTGAGCTGAAGTCAGATGCTTAACCAACTGAGCCACCCAGGCGCCCCTGTCCCTTGTGAGTTTTAAAAGCTTGTTGTGTGCTCTGCAGCTGCAAGCACTGCTATATTAAAGGGCGGGGGGGGGGGGTGTCATACACTGTCCAAGGCCTGGCCCTTCAGGAGGTATTTTTAGAAGAGTGTTATTTGCTGTCTGTTGTTGTGACTTTGGTTATTTTATTTCCCAAATCATGGTGATGTTTTGGACCCTCCACCAGGTGTGCTTTAATTTGTTCCTTGAAGTAGCCCTAGAAAGGAACACAAACAGACAAACAAAAACATGCAAATACACAAATAAACAAGCAAACAAACAAAAACAAAGAACAGTCTAAAAGCAAAAAAACAGAAACATCAGCTACAAAAAAAGAACAGGGTGGAGGCGGTGTTGATAGAAGAGCATATACAAAGAGAGAAACAACAGGGGCAAGGTCAAAACATTGACCAGGCAGAGAGACTAAAAGGCTTAATCCAGAGAGGGAGATAAAGGAGAATAAGGAAGGAGATGAGGAAAAAGAAACAAAGATAGAGTTATCCAGAGAAACTATATGGCCTGATTATTCCAGAGAGAGAGAAAGGAAAGAAGGAGGTGTAGAACATGCATCAAGAGAATGGATTAAATGTCTGTTTAAGCAAACCAATAACCAGAGTAACGAGCCTAGAGGGAGGGAAGAGATAAGACGGAGGAAAGGGAGAATATATCTAACTAACAAGAATTGTCCTAGAATTAATCCAGGCAACGCCAGAGTGCTGGTCCAGAGGAGAGGGTCGTCTGGTTCCACAGCATCTATCCAAGTCCAAGAGATACGAAATTCTCTTCCAGCACAGAGGGGCATGGCTTGGTGTAGGCGGTCCCGCCTCCACGTGGATCATCTTGGACCAACCCCTGAGGCCTGCCTTGGTGGTTGTGGGGAGAAAAATAGCAGCCCCCCTTTCCTTCTTCATGGACCAGGTGTCCCAAATAACTCCTTTGGATCCATTCTCACTGTGCCTCTGGCACAGACTGGGCGGTCTTTCTCGGTCCACTGACTCCTGTGCCCCCGTTTGACTGGGACCTAAACTCCCACTCCGTGTACCCTGGCATTGGGGAAACGCCTCCCCATGCTCCCCGATATGTGATCCCAGCTGGTTCTGTCCTGCGTCACAGCACTTCAGGGAAGGGGACCGGTTTCTCCTGCTGCAGACTGTGCCTCTGACCTACCATCAAATCCAGAGATGACTCCCCTCCTGCTGAGGTGTGCAAACAGGGCAGCCAGCCCTTGTCTGAAGAAGGCCCTGCAGTTAGAGATGGGATCCCTCTCTGCCCCAGTCCAAGGTTTTTCTCTTGTCCAGATATAGTCCTATGCTTCCACAGCCACTCTTTGTCTCTCCATAGAAGAGGATCCCTCTCCTCTGTGCCATTGCAGCCCATTTTATCTCCCCTAGTTCACAATCATACACCTATGGGGGCTGTCCAGTTTTCCCACTTTCTCCCTGGTAGACTCTGTCTGTTTTCCTTCCAGATTCTTGGGGTTCAAAGTGTTGCAGGATTCTTGCACAGAGAGTTGTGACACCGAGGCTTTTCTTTCCAGGAAGCAACTTTATTCGTGCCGGCACTGCTCAGTTGGGTTCGTACCCGAAAGAACTGAGCAGCCCACATCACATGGCATAGTTTTTAAATACATTTTCTATTTCTTTGTCTCCCATGTATGGTAACACACATAAACATGCAGTCTGATTAAGTTGTTTCAGTTTACAAGAACATGGGGGATGTAGGCACTTGGACCCATATCTAGGTGACCTTGAAGTCTTCTCTCCTCTCTTCTTCATTTTTTCTTTCTCCTTAGGGAGGGGTTCCTACCACAAAAGTCCTATGGCTTCAGCCCTTCTTTTTTTGAGAGACTCAGGAAGTACAGATTCCTCTTCTCCGCCATGTTAGCCACCAAGTTCTTTATTTATTTTTTTAATTTTTAAAAATGTTTTATTTATTTCTGAGAGAGAGAGACAGTGTGAGCAGGGGAGGGTCAGAGAGAGAGGGCGATACAGAATCTGAAGCAGGCTCCAAGCTCTGAGCTGGCCATCAGCACAGAGCCCGATGTGGGGCTCAAACCCACAAACCACGAGATCATGACCTGAGCCAGATTTGGATGCTTAACCGACTGAGCCACCTAGGCACCCCAGATCTCCCCTCTTTAAATTAGAATACCCTGGACATAACATAACAAAGAATGATAGGAAGATTCTGAAATACAGAAAGAAGATAGCAGACAGCCTAGGGACCTTGGGACTTGAGGCAGTTGTTTCCCTGGGTTTCCTTATTGCCTTTCATATATCTCAGACAGAGTGCTTCAGAAGCCTCCAACTCAGGACCGATAGATTTTTTAAAATAGTTCCAAAATAAAAAAACAAAAACAAAAAACCTTTTCTCCCTAACCCAAGCTAGGAGAAGAATGCCCTAGTAACAGAATTTTTATCAATACTAACTCTACTACAGCCAAATACCAAGAGAAAAGCCATACCTTCTTCTTGTGGTTTCATCTGAGTTGATCTAGGAGTACTTTTCCTACTCATTCATGATAAAAAATAATAAACGCACAATAAGCTAGGAGTAGAGTAGAACTACCTCAACTTAATAAAGAGCATCTACAAAAATACTTAGAGGTTCATCTCCTACACTAGTCTGGTTCATGAGGCCAGACTATGAAAATTGGCAGAGGTGGCTATTTTATCTAGTGCACAGAAACTAGAAACATAATTCTCAGGAGTTCCCTGCCTTTAGATTAGGTGGAGAAATGATCTTCTTTGGGGAAAGGAGGGACATATAGACACGACAGTCCTTGGAAGACCATAACCCCCAGGACAGTTTGAAAGCAGACCATTCCCAGACATAAAAATCTAAATCACTCTACATTCTTTGATAGTCTAAAATTCTTCCTTATCATAATATGCCTTAAATATAAGTAATTCTCAAATCAAGCAGGAAAGGAATATATGCACTCAAATCAGACATACCAAAAATTAAATGCCCACCATGTCCATGTTGTGTCAGATATGACAGGTACTACTTCCATTAGGGCCAATTGTCTTCAGGGGGGACCCACTTACTCCAAGAAGCTACAAACACAATAACTGGCCCAATTTTAATCCATAAAATGCTGCATAAAATGTCGACCATAATTTAGCTTAACCTGGAAGACAGTGGCAGTTCCCACACCTAAAGTCACATTAGGAAAAAATATCTCTTACATATGGGGAGAGAATCTGGTAGTGAGATCACCTATCTTTTAGTAAGTAACCTATTGGGTCCAAGCTTTGGCAACATTAATTACAGGGGGGGAAAGTTGAATAAATTAAAAAGTTTTGCATTTTATTTATGTTTCAAGAAAGAGTTAAAGACAATTTTATTAATTACATTTGATACACTAGAAGATGACAAAGTCAAAGTGCCTAACCACCTAGAGTTACACTGAGCTATTTATGCCTCTAAAATGAATTGACCCAAAGAAAGAATGAGCTACTGCTGGTTAAGTTACATAAAAGATATAATTAATGAAATGCCATTAATTTTCATGAGGCTATTATGTGACTTCGTGTCATTTTCAGAAACCAACAACAATAACAAACGTGCATAGTATCTGTGAAGTGCAATAAAGCAAAGTGATATAAAACAAGGTATGCCTATAATTATCTACAATTATTTACTGTATAATAAAATGCTGACCTATGTCATAAGATGAAAAAATAAATAAATAAATAAATAAATAAAATTTCAAACCATGAATACATAAAATGGTAATGTTTCTATGTTTTTTTAGGTATCAGAAAACTCAAGCATAAGAAGGTACCAGCAATTATTTTTATCATTTGATTGACAATGTTTTAAATTCTTAGGTTAAAAAATTTGTATTATATGATTTTTGTATACAAGGGTCTCCATAAATGTTGTCTGAATTGAATTCATAAAAGACCACTGAGTAAAAAGTCAAGATATCCTTTAGCATAATATAGAGCACTAATATGAATTTTCAAATAGTGAAAAGTATTGCATTGCAAAGTAAGATAGTACCCATCCAGATGAAAATTAGCATATGCTAGGTCACTATGTGTAGAGATTCTATAGAAAAGATTTCTGCAATAATGGGAAATTTAACTAGAAGACCAAGAAGATCCACTTACCTTCCAAAGCTCTGTTTCTGCAACCTCACCCTGGATAGAGCATCCCTCAGAGCCTGGTGGACCTGCTTGTTCCGCAGAGTGTAGATGACAGGGTTCAGCAGGGGGGTCACCACTGTGTTCACAAGGGCAGCCTCCCTGTTGGAGTCCAGCCTATTTGTTTGCTTTGGTTTCACATATATAAAGACAGAGCTGCCGTACATCAGACAGAGGACAAAGAGGTGAGAGGAGCAGGTGGAGAAAGCTTTCTGTCGCTCCTTGGCTGATGGAAGTCGCACAATTGTGAATACTATGTTGCTGTATGCAATGATGGTTAAAATGAGAGATATCAGAATGACAAGTAAAGCAAGGAAGAAGATATATATTTCAACAGACCTGGTGTCAGAACAAGAGAGATGAATTAGGGAGCCGAGGTCACAAAAGAAATGAGAGATGACATTGGGGCCACAGAAGGATAACTGGGAAACCTTGAGCACCAAGCCAGTGATGAAGATGAAGGACAAAGCACTGCAGAAGAAAACCAGAAGGAAACTGACCCTCAGGTTCATGATGGCCGGGTAGTGGAGAGGTTTGCAAATGGCCAGGTATCGATCCAAGGACATCACAGCCATAATGAAGAAAATTATTGACCCAAAAAACAGAAAAGAAAAGGCTTGTATTAGACAAGATGTAAAAGACATTTTTTGTCTTCCTGAAAGAAAGATGGACAGCAGTTTAGGAATAACTGTGGTGATAAAACAGCATTCAGAGAAGGAGAAAGTGCTGAGTAAAATATACATTGGTGTCTGGAGGTGATGGTCCACCCAAGTGATGATAATGATCACCATATTTCCTGTGACAGAGGCCAGGTATGCCAGCAGATGCATCAGGAAGAAAATGTTCCCCAGGTACTGGATGGCAGGAAACCCTTCCAGAACAAATTCTTGGATTGTTGTCTCATTCCTCACCTCCATGTTTATCTCCATTTCGCTGTCATCAACTCTGTTGGATCTGTTAAACAGAAAACACTGTCATCAAGTGATTCTTATCATCAAAGAATAAAAAGTTTAAATGATGGCCACTGTTAAAAAAATAAATAACTACTACTTACAGCTACAGTTCTGAATGAGGGTTCATTTTATATCACTTAAATGCCATATTATAAATGATTTTTAACTTTTCCTGTTATTAAATTGTAAAAATTGATGGCTTTTTGTTTATTTTTGAAAATAAATTTTAATGTGCAACTTTACTTTTTTGGAAAATAATATTTTTAATAAGTCAATAAGGTAAAGAATGCAAAATGAAAATTATTTTTTGCACATAATGTATAAAACTAACAGATAACAATGAAGATTGTCATCCCACAGAGAATTTTTTCTTTTTTTTTTTAATAGTTTATTGTCAAGTTGGTTTCCATACAACACCCAGTGCTCATCCCCACAAGTGCCCTCCTCCATGCCCATGGCAATGAGAAAGAATGAAATCTGGCCATGTGTATCAACACAGAGAATATTTTTATGGGGTCACAGTGTCAATTTCTATACTTCAGGCATAATATGCAATATATGAAGCTCTCCTATGTACTGACTTTAGCCCTCTGGAAACAGAAAGAGTGGGGCGAGGGGCACCTGGGTGGCTCAGTCAGTTTAGCATCCAACTCTTGATCTTGGCTAAGGCAATGATCTCACAGTTCATGAGTTCCAGACTCAAGTCAGGCTCTGCACTGATGGTGTGGAGCCTGCTTGGGATTTTGTCTCTCTTTCTCTCTGCCCCTCTCCCACTGGTGTATGCTCTCTAAAAACAAATAAGCAGGTAAACAAATAAATAAAACTAAAAAGAAAAGAAATTGGGGTGGGGGGATCATTTTCCTATTAGCATATTCCAAACCAGCTATTTTCTTAAAATTGGATCAGCCTGAGTTCTTTACCCAAGACCTTAAGAATAAGCAGGAAACCTGGTTTATCACAATATCTCGAACTACCCAGTCCTCGGGTTTAAGTGAAACCATGTCTAAATGTTGGGGGCATGACTTGTTTGTTCAGAATCAATGAATAAACATTTAATGGGCGAATCAGTTTCCCTCTACCCACCAGGCAGAACAATTTTCCTTCTGCTCTTAGTCATAAATTACCCTTCAATATTGTTTTCTGAGAATATTTTTGTTACACTGGAAGATTTTGGTGTGGTGGAATTACACCTGTACTCCCACTGCAATCACTAGAGGGACACTGTTTGATTGTTTGTTTGTTTTAATGTCAATGTGTAGCTAGAAGCCAGAGGAATTAATATGTAATCATTGGGGAATGAGTGTGGACATCTATTGGAAATCAGAGTTCTAGTGAGTAAGTCATCATAATTAAATTGTACTTTACTTACTTTGATTTAGCTAAAGCTTTTACATTAACTATGCATGACCCACAATACAAACTTAAACATAACCAGTCTCTGCTTTAAATATGTGACTTGTCAGATTGCAAGTCATCCTCATGGTCAGGTACTCACCAAGAAGCAGCTCACAGGAAACAGAGCTTCTTTGACAATGTGCTTCTCTTTTCTTGCAACAAACCAGGATCTTTCTCCCAGGTTAATGGAAAGGGGGGTGGGGAAGAACTCTCTTAATTGAGACATACTTTTCCTTGAACTATTAAAGAAATCAATGAATGCTTTGTGTCTTAAATTAATAGGAAACTATTAGGGCTAATTTTTTTTCATGGAAGACAGAGATTTCTAAACTCTGGAGAATTAATAGTCATAGTTTTCCCGTATAGCAGCTGGACTGATAAATCCTAGATCAGGATAATAGAAACTATCACAAATATGCACTAGAATTTGCATTCAAAATTCTTGAACATATTTATATGCATTCTATGGGATACTATGACACAGTCCATCATAAACATCAAATTTGGTCAGTTATGCATCCATACCACAGGAAAGTCAGGAAGAAGAGACAACAAAAGTCACTTTCCTTTGGACTCTGTTGTTAGTCACTGTCTCATCAACCAGTTGCTCCCTACCTTTCAGAGTACCTGAGGATCATTGCAGTCATAAATGAGAATACATTCAAATGCCCTGATGATATATTTACCAAAGGGTTATTTACTGTCCCCAATGAGGATACACAGGGTCCAAAAGGACAAACCTCTGGAACACTGAGAATTCATTTAGAGGAGTATGAAAAAAAGAAGCAGGAACTAAAATCATAACAGAGTCCCAGAGGGCATTTAGTTGTTCATATTTGGAAATGACAAATTTCAGCAGAAATATAATATAATTGCTATTTCACTGCATATGGTAACATACTACCATCATTATCAATAACCCACACAATCCTTTGTACAAGTCTTCAAAGGTATATTTTCCATTAGTGCCCTCGAGTGGCAAAATTTACAGAATCCCAAATTACATATGTCAAGAAAGACAAGCTTAAACAACAGAAAGACTTTTTTACAATTGTCTTTCCTTGTTTCCCTTTTTAACTTGGTATTTTATTTAATGAGGTATAATTTAAACTCTGTAAAATGAACAAATTTTAATTGTACAGGTTGATAATTTTCTATGTATAAACAGCCAGGTACCACTGTCCAAATCAAACTATAAAACAGTGCTCTCCTTAATACCCATCACACATTTAGTCCATCCCCTGCCCACCTCTCCTCCAGCAACACCCAGTTTGTTCTCTATAATTAAGAGTCATTCTTATGGTTTGCCTCTCTTTTTTTTTCTCTTCCCTATGTTCATCTCTTTTGTTTCTTAATTCCACATGTGAGTGAAATCATATGGTATTTGTCTTTCTCTGACTTATTTCACATAGCATAGTACACACTGGCTCCATATACATATACATATACATATATATATACCACATCTTCTTTATCTGTTCATCAGTCTATGGACATTTGGGCTCTTTCCATAATTTGACTGCTGTTGATAATGCTGCTATAAACATCTGGGTGCGTGTATCCGTTTGGATAAATATTTCTGTATCCTTTGGGTAAATACCTAGTAGTGCAATTTCTATGTACAAATGAAAATAATGTGTATCTTCAGGTGTTAAATGTAATAATCTACAATTATCAATTAACTGTATTTAGTTGATAGTCATGCGAATCCTCTACTGATTTTTTTCTTTTTGCTGTATTAATTACTGAAATGATGGTGTTAAAACCTCTTTATTTGTAGATCTTTTTATTTCTTTTAGTTCTCCTAACTTTTCTTTCATGAACTTTAAGGCCTATCATTATGTGAATATACATATAAAATCACATCTTCCTGATTATTTCTTTCCTTTATCATTATAAATTTACCTCTTTATTTCTGAAAATACACTTCACTGTAAAGTCTATTTTTTTAATATGTATTACTACGGTCACACAACCTTTCTTTTGCTTGATGTTTGCTTCAAATTTCTTATTCTATATATTTAAACATTATTCTTATAACACAGAGTAAGGTCTTCCTCTTTACCCAATATAGTCATATCTGTGTGTGTGTGTGTGTGTGTATGTCTGTCCCTTTTTTTAATTGAAGTGCTTAGTCCATTTACATGTAATGTCATTATTATAAGGTTAGATTTAATTCTACCATCTTTTTATTTATTTATTTATTTTTAGCATTTATTTATTTTTTAAAAGAGAGAGAGATAGAGTGTGAGTGGGGAAGGTACAGAGAAAGAGAGAGACACAGAATCTGAAGCAGGCTCCAGGCTCCAAGCTGTCAGCACAGAGCCTGATGTGGGGTTCGAACCCACAAGCTGTGAGATCATGACCTGAGCCAAAGTTGGCAGCTTAACCAACTGAGCAACCCAGGTGCCCCTACCATCTTTTTATTGGGGGGGGGCGGGTGAGGGAGACAGAGAGGGAGCGACAGAATCTTAAGCAGGCTCCACACCCAGTGATGAGTTTGATGCAGAGCTCAATCTCATGACCATGAGATCATGACCTGAGCTGAAATCAAGAGTTGGTCACTTAACTGGCTGAGCCACCCAGGTGCCCCAACTACCATCTTGATGTTTCCTTTTATTGTCCCCCCATTATATATTTCTTATTCTCTTTTCCTATTTTCTTTGGAGTTAACCATGCATTTTTAATATTGCATTATAATCAGCTCTATTATCTTTTAAACAGCTTTCTTAAGTGATCATTGATATAAATGGATATATTTAAAGTGTATAATTTGATACATTTTAACATGTTTTTAAAAAATGTTTTGGGTTTTTATTTAAATTCCACTTAGTTAACATATAGTGTAATACTAGTTTCAGGAGTAGAAATTAGTGATTCATCACATACATACAACACCCAGTGCTCATCACAAAAGTGTTCTCCCTAGCCCATCCCCCACCTACAACAACTCTCAGTTTGTTCTCCATAGTTAAGAGTCTCTCTTACGGTTTGCCTCTCTAAGAGAGACATATTTTTTAAGGGCTTGGTGATGGGTTTTGAGCTCAGTCAGGATAATGAAATGCTTCATCATTGGAACAAACAGCACATCTATGATGGATCATTTGGGATTGTCTTCTTTGCTGGATGGGTCATAATGGGGATTGTTTTTCTCAAACTGTGTGTGGTCTGGGTAAGCCTCCTTCATAAGCTTCACAAGTTCTGTGATGTCTGGCTTTTCACAATTGCTATGGTAGAAGGCGGCTTCTCCTTCCAGCTTCATGGCTGGAAGGAAGTTCCAAGCCTGTCCTGGTAGTTTTGAAACACCATCCCAGCATGCTATCTGCTTGGACTGTGCTTTAAGATACTCAGCACTGAACTTTACATCTACACCTTTCTCTGGTTGGCTTTCTGGCTCTGACTTTCATCAGCCAGTAACTGCTTAGATACCTCCCACATATTTTAAGAGCTGGTCTTCCTAGGGCTGAAGTTACTTACTTTATTGATGCTTCTGCTAGTTTCTTAGTCTTTTTTTTTTTAATAGTTTACTGTCAACTTGGTTTCCATATAACACCCAGTGCTCATCCCCACAAGTGCCCTCC